GCCAAGATGTTAAATCAGCCCTGGCTGGCGTAGCTCAGTGGATTGAGCACGGGCCTGTGAAGCAAAGGGTCGCTGGTTTGATTCCCAGTCAGGGCACATGCCTGGGTTGCAGGCCAGGTCCCCAGTAGGTGACACATTAGAGGCAACCACACAGTGTTTCTTTCCCATGCTTTCTCCATCCCTTACCCTCTCTTTAAAAATAAATAAATAAAATATTTTTTAAAAAAGATGTTAAATCAGCAGCTCTGTGGGAAGGTTATCCCTGGATCTTCTTTTTTTCCTTTTTTAAAGATTTTATTTATTTACTTTTAGACAGAGGGAAAGGGAGGAGAGAAACATCAATGTATGAAAGATACATGGATTGGTTGTCTCTTGCTTACAACCCCTACTGGGGACCGGGCCTGAAACTGAGGTATGTACCCTGACTGCGGTTTGCAGGCCAGCACCCAATCCACTGAGCCATACCAGCCAAGGCTATCCTTGGATCTTCTCGAGTTATAATTTGCTGCCTCATTTTCATCACCCTAGGCCCTTTAGGGTGAGAGTTTCCTGGAGTAGCTTCTGCCCTGTTATTATAGTTCTGTGCCCAAAGCCTTCCCTGGGCATCACCTGGCTTTTGGTTCTTTGCCAGGGCAGCCTCCTGTTTTTTCCTGGACAGCTGGGGCAGATTTACCCAGAATGCACCAGTCATGGGGAGTCCTGCCTGGGGTAGGTCTGTAGTCCTCCTGGAGAGTCAATAGGTGGTGCTGTGACACCAGCTTCCCACTTGCACAGGGGCAGCCGGGTAGCTCCCTGCCTACCTGTGCCGTGGTGGGGACTGAGTGACCCAACTCACCTGAGGGAGTGGCACATAGGAGGTGCCTGGTAAATACTAGGTGGGCAGGATCAGCAACAGGGATGGGGTTCCACCAGAGCCATAGAATATCCTATTCAGAACTTGGAAGGACCTTTCCCCTTGTTCTTGTCCTATTTCCTGTTTGCCCACAGGAGGGAGACAGGATTGGTGCAAAGAGCACATGAGGCACGTCTCCCCCACTTGATATGATTGGCCCTGTTTCTCTAGTGTCCATACAGACATTGGCTTTGTCTTGCCTTCTCTTGTTTATTCAACCTTTCACAAAAGTGTGAGTCCCACTCAGTGTCCAGAAACACCAAAAAACATTTTACCAAGAAGCCTGTGTTGAAATCAGGTGTTTGGGGATATTTGTCTGCCAAGGACGCATCTGGATTCTCTCAAGATTCATGTGCTGGCTTCTCCCTCTGTCACTGGGTGCGTTTAACCTGGAACCTGGGCTCTTCTGTCAGCCCTGTGCCTTTGAGATACCCCATCGGCCCCTGAGTTATGTCTGACCTGTTGTCTGGAAATGGCTAGCTAAGAGCAGTTACCGCATAACAGTACTTGGGTGGTAAAGCTGAGGACAGTGGAGGCTAACCAGCAGGACTGGGAGTCACATACCTCATCTTTTTCTCCAGGCTGACATCTCCTGGGCTGTTGAAACTTAAAGAGTCTGAAGCTCAGTACCTTCCATTGTGGGCCTGGTGGAGACTCAGCCCCGAGGGGACACACAAGGGATCACTGATGTGTTTGGGAGGGCTTTGGAGCTGGATCTTGATGGGCAAGTGTAGGGCAGATGCAAGAGCATGGTGGAGGGGCAGCGAGAGTTCTAGAAGGCCAGCTCCTGGGCAGGTCTAGTTGGCCTGCCTAGGGAGTACTGTTCTTGGCTTAGCCTGGGGCCCAGTGGGAATATTCTGGACTCTGTCCAGGGCACTGGATTCTGCCCCCAGCTGTGGTGATAAATACTTCCCCGAGTGCCTTCTCAGCTACCACTGCGGTCACAAGCCTGGCTTGCTCATCCACACGGGTCTGACTCGGTGCCTTCCTGCTGCTGTTTTCTGTCACCCTGTTTTTGCACTGGCAAGCTCTGGCTCCTGTGTGCCCTTCAGTGCAGCTAGGCTGGGGAAGAGCTAGGGCCCCAGACCAGTATCTGGCCCTGCCACGAGATGTAGCCTCATACACGTGAGTGGGGAGGTTGTCTCCAAGGCTTTGGGGGTCCTTTCTAGAGATCAAAGGTGCAGTCCCTGGCCTGAAGGCATTGTAGCTGGGCAGCCAGACAGAGGACAAATGATGCAGAGAAATAAGGAGAACAGTGCGGCCAGATGGGAGTCCCACTGGGTGGTCTGGAGAGGCATTTTGGGGGCAGCTAGTGATCGAGCTGAATCAAGCTAGGTTGTCAGCAAGAGTTCCTAAATAGAAGGGGAGGAGCCATTGCAGACTGGAGGGCTGAGTGCAGTGTCACGGAGACAAGACCAGTGCAAACTCCACGTGTTCCAAGAAGCGCCAGTGGTTCGGTGTTACTAGAGAAGAGAGCTGTGTGCCAGGCATAGGCCCGAGGCTAAGGATGGGCCTGTGGATAGGATAGAACTAGATGAGGGGTGGAGCCTAAGGTGGGGTGCAGGTCTGAGAGCTTGGGAGGTGAAGGAGTGGTCCAGCCCTCATGGACAGGCTGTGTGGGGCATGTCTAGGGGATACTCAGGAACCTTGGTCTAGTAGGCAGTTGGGCATAAGGGTCTGGGCTGAGACAAACCCTGTCAAGGAAGAGATTGGCAGGCTGCCAGTGCTGCTTGAATTAAGGGTGGGGGAAATTCTGCAAGGCAGACTTGTTGGTTGCTCCAAGTGCTGCAGAATGAGCACACCTCCAGGACTCTGGGGCGTTCCTTGGGTTGGGCAGCTGTGGCACTGGTGGGACTGCTGGTGGCTTGGCCAGACTGTAGCCTAGGTTGGCACAGGTTTAGCAGTGGTGGGAGGAGAGGGGAGTGCCTTGGGTTGGCAGGAGGGAGAGCAGTGAGAAGTGAGGCTCCCGGAGGGAAGAATTACCCAGAAACTTCCTGGGCCAGGTTGGAGGAACAGGTCTAACAGGAAGGGAGGGAGAGGATGTGGATGGTACAAAGGATGGCATGAAACACATGTGAAGGCTGGGGGTGGTGCCTGCCCTGCACTGACGGAGAGACCCTAAGGGCTGCAAGCTAAAGTGGGGAGCCTAGCAGGCTGAGGCTTAGGGAGGGCCCTGGATGGCTCTTGGGCTGGGTTCTGTGCGTGTGCCCAGACTCCTTTTGGCAACAAAGGCGCTTCATAGCTGGGGATGGGCTGGGAGGGCACCAAAGGGAGCCAGGTCCCTGCTGTGCTGCTGCTGTCATCGCTGCCACCACCACCCTGGGCCCAACCTCCCTGGGTAACTAGGGTGACACCCGTGGTCACACATAACACTGCTGGAGTTCTGCCCGAGTCAGCTGCCTGCCCAGCTTTGTTGGGGGCGGGCCTAAGGGGAAGTGTCACCCTTGGGCTTACCTCTCCAGCTTTGCTTGCTGGGTCCACCAGGTGGCACACATGCCCTGACCCCTCCCCACTCCAGCTGGGGATTGGCTTGAGCACTCTGTGCTGGGAGATTGGGGCTTGGTCAGACTTGCCTTTCTTTTTGGGCCCCTCCAGTCACATCCACTGCCTCTGTGAGTCATGCGGTTTGCTTCTCTCTGGCTTCTGAGGTACCTGGGAGCTCCCTCTACCTCCAGGGCTCCAGCCCAATGGGGGGCAGGCTGGTGGGCAGTCAGGGGCTGAGACAGGGAAACCTGAGCCCTGGGCCACGAGGTCCCGGCTGCTAATTTTAGAGAGCACATGTCACTGGAAACTCTGCCCTCCTGCCAGGAGCCAGCGGCCTGGATCTCCCAGTACTGCCAGGGGCCCCTGGAACCTATTCCCAAACCAGGAAGCAAAGTAGGCATCTCATGTCTTCCGGAGCCTGCTCCCCACTAAATGCTTGTTTCTGACAGCGGTCCTGCCAGGGCCCAGGTTGCTCTGGCATGTCCAGGTCCTAACCTGGAACGTGCTAGGTTCTGTGCCCTCTGGCCTGGGTGTCCTGACAGCAAGAGCTTGCCTCTTCCCTCCGGTTTTCTGAGCAGCAGGTATCCATGAGAACCCCACAAAGGCTGGCTGGTGGGGCCGGATACGATGACTTGGCTTGGGAATGGGCCCGAGCAAAGCAGAGTGTTTCCCTCTTCAAGCCCAGAGGTCCTGCACATACCGTCGCTTGCTCTAAGCTATGGTTGGCCTGGGTCCCTGCCCCAGGTGTGTGGGGAAAGTCGTCCTGTCCATCCCTGTTCCTCGGTTTTGACCATTGGAGGGTAACTTCAGGAAGTGGAGAGGCACGTACCCCAGCTGCTGCCTGATTGCTTCTCGTGGTTGGTCTGGCCCCGATTCTTTGTTTCTGTCCCCCTGGCCCCAGAGGATCTCCGTGTGGCAATGTTATCTAACAGATGTGTTCTGGCGGCTGCCTGCAGAACGTGTTTGGGAAGCGGGTGGAGAAAGAAGAGTCATTTCCATCTCAGTTGGCCCGGGAGCCGGTCCCTGGAAATTTAGGATGTGTAGTTGTTCCCAGCTCAGGTCTTGGGGTCAGACAGAAGTGGGGAATTTCAGCCATATCCGTTTCTGGCTCTTGACCTTGACCAGTTGCTTTAGCCTGTTGAGCTTCAGCTTCCCCTCTGTGAAATGGGGGTGATGATCACCCTACCTCACAAGGTAGGTATGAGGATTTAGCTGGCCTTTTGGAAGCACATCAGGTACTAGCTGCTCTTGGTTCTCAGGGTGACCCTGGCCTCCCAGTGAGGAAGATGGCGCTGCTCTGGCTCTGTACCTCCAGGTCCTGACCTGGAAAATGCCCAGTCCTGGTCCCTTGGCCTGTAGCTCACCTGGCCTGGGTGTCCTGTCACACTTCCTGTGCCTGCCGTTTGGGGGCAGTGTTAATCATTCTGGTGCGGAGGACAGCTCCTGGTTCACCTTTTTCCTCATGTTGCCAGATTCAGGCCTGTAGTGTCTCACTTGGCTGCCCTGGCAATTCAAGAAGGCAAGTCTAGGCTAGAGGCAGGCATGGGGCGGGAACAACCAAGAGAAATTCATGTCAGCCATTTCTTCCTTTTGCTCACTTCTCCCTTTTTGTAAACAATCACAGCCTACTTAGACGCCTGGTGACTCTCATCTCCCAGCAGGCCACGCTGCTGGCCTCCAATGAAGCCTTTAAAAAGCAGGCAGAGAGTGCTAGTGAGGCGGCCAAGAAGTACATGGAAGAGAATGCCGAGCTGAAGGTGAGTTCTGCCTGCGTAACCCTACCATGTGACATTCTTTATGGGCCACAGTGGCCAGTGGAGCCTATCAGTGACACTGTGGTTGTTGGAAAAGCTGAGGAATTGGGTAGACAGGCAAAGAGGCAGTTTTTAGTGGGGGCATGTGTAGGAGGGGCCTGGGGGACTAGGAGAAAGGATGGGGGTGCTCTTGCTGCTCTCTCACCTCTACGTGCTACGTTCGGGCCAGATTCTTTTCTGATAAAACAGACTCCTAGGGAACTGAGCCCTGTGTGTGACCCATGGGTGAGTTAGCACAGAAGAACATTGCTGTTAGCTGGGGGCAAGGCAGGGATGAGGTGTGGCCGGTCCTAGAAGGCCTGTGAGAAGAGGTGAGGTGTGAGCCAAGCTGGGCAGGAGGCTCATGGGCTTGCATTCTGAGGCAGGATAGAGCTGGATGAGCTGGGGTGAGTTTGGGGCTCCTTGGCCAGAGTGAGCTGCGGAGCTTGGGGGAAGGAAGGAGGAGCATTGGTCGCTTGGGAGTGACTGGCAGCAGTCCCCACGTGACAGCAAATTGAGTCATTGGATGGGCTGGTAAACTCTGAGGAGCGGCTGAGAAAAGGAGGCAGGGCTGGGGGCCAGGGTGGGCAGGGCATGTGGCCTGTGAGCTTCAACAGGTGGCCCTGCTGGCTCTGGCCTTTGCCGAGTGTCTGGGGAGAAGCAGTGGCCCAATTCCATGCTGACATTTCCGAAGGGGCAAGTGCCCAGGCAGTTTGAGGAATCACAGCTCAGTGGGAAGGACGGTGCTGGAGTGCCTCCCTTCCTCCCCCCTGCCCCTGCCCCCTCCTTCCCTGCCCTCTGTTCCTCCGTCTCTCCCTCCCAAGTAACCAGACCCTTGGCACTCTTCCTAGGAAACTGCAGGCGGGTCGACTGCCAGGGAGGTGAAGTTGAAGTTTAACAGTGACTTGGAGGCTGATCTGCAAAAGCTGAAGGATGAGCTGGCCATCACTAAGCAAAGTGAGCATTGTCCTCAGGTGTCCCCTGGGCCCCAGAAGTCTGGAGCCTCCTCTGGTGGCTGTCGCTGCTCTCTTGCCAGAGTATTAATGACAAACATGCAGGCTTAGGAGTTGGGTGAAAACAAACAAATGGCACCCCGCTCATCCAGTGCAGACAGCCTGTGGGGCTCAGTGGTTCAGCGCTGCGTGCGGGGTTCCTCTGAGGACGGCCCTGGGAGTCCCAGAGGCCTGCAGACTAATTCCACAGCCCCTCACCTAGGGCCAGCCAGGTAAGGCATATTGGCATCATCGTCAGCAGGGGCTTGTGGGCAGGGAAGGAAAGAACTCAGGAGACTGCATGGGAGCTGGTCGAGATGTTCCCAAAAACCCCACTGCGAGTTCCCAGACGCTCCCTTCCTGAAGGCCTCTCCCCACATACCTCTCCTGTTCTCAGCTTCCAGCCTGGGAATGCACGCACGCCCTGCTTCTTGAGCTCATCCCCATATTCTCAGAATGTTTGTCCCATGCCCTCACACTTTGTGAAATCACTGCTCCCAAGAAGCCACTTGGGGGTACCTTCATTAAAGGGGCCGGGGAGGTCCTTGGTATTTTCCCACTCCCCCCAGTTTTGTTGGCCAGCTTCCCCATTCGGGGGGGTTTCAAGGCAGCCAGCAGAGCAGCTGTCTTGAGAGGAGTGGCATAGACCCCACCAGGGACTGATCAAGGACCCACATTTGGTGTCAGCAGCAAGCAGGATTTTTCTCCTTAATCCTGGTCTTTTCATTTTCTTTTCTCCATTACTTGCATCCCCAGAACTAGAGAAAGCTGAAAACGAGACTCTGGCCATGCGGAAGCAGTCCGAGGGCCTGACCAAGGAGTATGACCGCCTGTTGGAGGAGCACATGAGACTGCAGGTCAGCATGCCTTGGCCCGCTCTGTTGGATGCAAGGCTCCCTTTCACCCTGCCAGTTCGTCCCTGTGCCCTGGGAGGCCACTGCCCTCCTGCTGTAGGCTCTTCAGGAGGCATTGGCAGTGGGGGGCTGCTCCCTTTCTCACCCCCCTTTCTTCATTGCTGCTAAGGTGGTCTCGGCAGTGGGGTTGGCCTCATGCCCAGAATCACTGCTCTTAGAAGGAGCTCTTTCCTTTATGTGACACCGCCCCCCCCTTCAGCCTGTGGTGTGGGGCCCTCGACTCCAGTCCAAGTCCACTGAAGGGACCTCATCAAGAAGCAGACAAAGGCATACAGGCGATGCTCCAGGACTAGCTGCCGGCCTTCCTTCTGTAGGGGCTTCAGGGTGCAAAAAGCTTGGGGCATTGCAGCGCCCCTTGCCCCAGCAGATGCTAGACATTGCCGTTACCTGTGCCCCCAGGCCTGGTCTGAGCCTCAGACTGGCTGCATCTGGAAGTGCAGGTGGCCAGCAAATCGGGCCTGAAGGCCAAGTAAACACTCCTGGGTTCTGACAGTTTGCCTTGGCACTTGGAAGCCCAAGTTTGGGCACCACAGCAGTCGAAGGGGAGGGCCTAGCCCCCAGAGGGGGCCAACAGCCTCAGTGTAGGGCAGAATCACTGGCAGGAACTGTGAAAGGTGTGTAGGGTTGAGAAGAGCCTGGCCTCGGGCTCGGAAGAGACTGGAAAGCTGAGGTTGCCATGAGCATTGGGGCTGGAGTAGGGTGGGGCCCAAGGCGGGGTGTTGGTGCGGGGCCGGCTGGCGTCAGGGTCGAGGCCTTCACTGGAGTGAGGCTACTCCCACCCTTGTAGGCCTTTGGGTACTGCTGAGGGGGTCCTTTCTTCACCCGGATACCTGTCATTTGGGGAAAATGAGTGCCATGCTGGACCTCTGGGGTGGAGGGGCTAGAGGGCCAAGGGGAGGAATATATCACCCCAGTACTTTGTGATTTTTGTCCCTTTTTAGGAGGAGATAGAAGGTCCCACGGACAAGAAGGAGGAGTGAGGGCCCCTCCTTCCCACATGTGGCTGTGGCCTGGCCCAAGCCCCCCGCTTCCTGAGAGCCGGGCCTCCCTCGGCACTTACTGCCCCGCCCCCCCACTGCTTATAGTTCTTGTTCTCCTAGCACCGCACAGGGGACCAGATTTCCACCTGCTCAGGACGAGCTTGCTGCTCGCCTGGCCAACCAGGTGCAAGGCGGGCACCTGGAACCCTTGCAATGGGGCTTGCTTCCCACTGGGTTGAGCCCCTTTTTTGTTGCTCATTGATGTTCGGGGTTCTAAGGCTCCTTTTCTCTGGTCCTGCAGGAGGGTGGGTGGAGCAGGCAGAGTGGAGTTTCTCTTGGCAATAAAGGTTGTTATGATGTCTCTGTGGTGCATGTGTATAACTGAGGCTACAAGGAGGTCTCTTTCTCCCCCTGCCTGGAGTGATAGCTCTGACAGAGACCCCCAGTTTGCTCTAACCCTTAAAGGCTCCGCATCCCAGGTGAGGCCCAGGCTTATACTTGCCTTCTCTGCCCCTCTGCTTCCTGATCCCCTGGCCAGGCTCCACTTGATGGCCACTTGGGGTGTGTCTGTCCTGTTGCCACCCTGGGGGTTGGCCAGTGAGCCCAGGGGAGGTTCTTAGACTCAGGAAACAGTGGGTCTTGTTTGCTGCCTCCTCTGGGTCCTGTTCATCACATTTAGGGCAGATAGAATGTGGCAGAGTGCCACCAGTCACTCCCTGCCCCACCCCCCACCCCAGCTTTGCAGGATGACCTCTGAGTAATGCCAGCTGAGAGAGGAGACTTGCCCTTGGTGGTGACCTATGACTGGCCCAGGGCAGAGCTAGGGGGTGGGGAGGGGTTCTGGATTGGTTGGGTACAGCTCCGAGTACATACCAAGCATGCCAGTTTGCCTGGAGAGCCCGTTCTTCCAGCAGACTGCCCCTCAGCATCCCCCTAGGCCGGCTTCCACAGGTGGTCTCCACCAAGCTGGGGCAGAGGTGCCCAGGGCTGCTGGCCCTGAGGACTGGGAGGGGAGCCCGGGGAGTAGGTTGGAGGGTGTTCTCTTTTGGAATTAAGGAGTTCCATCAAGATGGTGGTGCTGATGGCCAGTCTTGTACTCATTCTCCTCCTGCCTCAGCCAGGCCTGGGCCAGCGGCTCCCTTTCCTAGTGTTTATTTCTTCCTTCCTCTCTTGAGGTGGTGCCTGCTGGGGAGGGGCCCCCAGGTGACACCCTCTGGTTGTTACACCAAGGCTGAAAGCTGGTCCTAGGACGTTGTTCCTTGACGGCCTTGGCCTCACCCTTCTCCAGACTTCTAGAGGCCAGAGTCCAGACAGTGTGGTTTCGAGTTCTTCTCTGGCCAGCCCCAGGCCGCCTCCGCGCCTCCTCAGTGTGTGGCCCTGGGCCCAGCAGAGAGGAGCAGGCTGCCTAGCTGGCGGCGACAGACAGAGTTGGAAAGTGAGGTGCCCACCCAGTCTAGACTGGAGGCCCAGCCTCGGTGAGCAGCCCCTCTGGCCGATCCCGAGTGTTCCTTTCCTCTAGCGTCCTTCCACTCTGAGTGGGGCTGTATGCCAGCATCCCTGCCTCGCTGGCCTGGCCGATCCATTTCCTCCCTGTCTCCCCCTTAGATTGTCTGTCCCCGTGTCATCTCTGTCATAAGCTCCTACCACAGGGGGCAGCTTCCTGAGTAAATGGTGCCTGCCCATGGCTCTCCTAGCCCTGGTCAAAGCACTCCAATCTCTGTCAAGTTCTCTTTATTTTTAGTTTTATTTTTTTAAAGTTTTATTTATTTTCAGAGAGAGGGGAAGGGAGGGAGAAAGAGGAGAGAAACATCAATGTGACAGAGAAACAGTCGATTGGTTGCCACTTCTATGCATCCCAACTGGGGACCAAACCGGCAATTCAGGCATGTGTCCTGACTGGGAATAGAACTGGTAACCTTTTTTTGCCTTGTAGGACATCCAGCCACCGAGCCACACCCGTCAGGCTCTACTTTTCTTTTTGTGATGTTGATGTTTTCTGAGTCTTCGGTGGTGTGGCAGGTGGCTTAAGAGGCCATTTGGCAAGAAGTGACAAAGATCTGAGCCAAGGCATGCCACCACTGGGGGAGTGGAGAAGTTAAGAGTTGGTATGAGCCTGGGGTGGGGTAGGGAGTGGAGCAGGCCTGATGGCAACTCCAGGCTCTGCCCAGCGGGCAGGGAAGAACTGCTGGGGGTGCCGGCAGTATGAGGGGCCTTTTCACCTCAGGAGAGCCAGGCTGGGGTTTCCGGAGCTGCCAGCACTCGGGGTTCTGGAAGTTGCAGGCCTGGCGAGGGCTGAGGGTTTGTGGAGTGAGAAGCATTGAAGAGAAGGGTGGGGCGGTAGTTGGGTTGGAAGAGCAGGTTGTCAGGTGTCCTACAGGGCTGGGCCTGCTGGGGAGGCACCTCCCTATGGGCTGGCACAGGCTCTGTAAAGACCTTCCCAAGCTCTGTGGGGACCTGCCCCCTGTCTGGGTTCTTGGTGACCTAGACAGAGCATGGCTGATGGCAGCATGACATACCAGAGCCCGTGCTGGCTGTACAGTTGATGGCTGAAGTCCCTCCTTGCTAAGGGACCATGCCTTGCTGTATAGAAAGAGCAGGGATTAGCCTGAGAGGGAGGACCGAAAGAGCAGTCACTGTTCTCTGAGCGGCCACCCCTTCTCTTCTTCCCAGACTGGTATCCAGAGACAGCACCAGGCTCCTAACCCTAACCCCCATCGCAGGCCTGCCTTAGCCGAGGACTGGGCTGGCCCTGGCCACCCCCTGTGCCCATGCCTTATCCTGCCCTCCCTCCCGTGGCACTGGATGGAGAGCCCTGCTCTCACCTGCAGCTGAAGCCTCCTGTGTTTGAGGTCCTGCCCACAAGGACCCGAATGAATGGAGTCATTGTCTCCAGTTCTTTCCCACCTGCTCTTTTAAGTTGCGGTAAAATGTATATAACCTAAAACTTCCATATTTTAAGATTACAGTTCAGTGGCATCAAAGACATCGTTGTGCGTCACTACCGTCCAATTCCCAGAACTTTTCATCTTGTAAAACTGAGACTGCCTCCACAAAGCACTCGCCCTCATCCTCCTTCCCCAGCCCCTGGCACCAGCCATCCCTGTCTCCACCTCTTTTCATTAACTCCAACGGGCGGGGGGCGGGCGGGACTCAGAGAATGCAATCAGACAGTGATTGTCTCTTTGTGTCTGGCTTCCACTCAGCATAATGTCCTCAAGGTTCATCCTTGTAGCCTGTGTCATATTTTCCTTTTTAATGCTGAATAATACTCCACTGTATGACTAGACTACATTTTGTTCATTTACTCCTCTGTCAGTGGACACTGGGATTGTCCCACTCCTCCTTCCTTCCTCCCACTGCAGTCAGGCTTTTGCATACCCCCAACCCAAGCCTCTCTTGGCCAGGTCTCCATGGTCTTGTCACCAAACCCGGCCAGCGTTCTTGGGCCCCCTCCCCCCTGACCATCAGCGGCACCTGACAGCCGATCGCTCCCTCCTCTCTGACCCCCACAGGTCGGAGGCTGCTCACATCCATGTTCCGGGATCAGTTCTGTCCTCTTGGGGTCCATCCCACCCCACTGGCCACTCTGTGTCCACTGCTGCTCCCTGTCTTCTCTGCCACTTCTGAGTGTCCCAGAGCCCCAGTGCTTACTTAGGCCACCTCTCCCTCTATACCCGCTCTGCTGCCCTCGCTGAGTTCATCCAGGCTCGGGCTTTGGGGCCATCTTTATGTGCTGAGAACTTCCTAAGTTCTTGTTTCAATTCAGACCCTTCCCGAACTCCAGACTCCTTGTCCAGGTGCTGTCTGGGGGTCTCCACTCGGATGACACCACCATCCCCTCCAAACCTCGTCTCTGTGGCAGTGCCACCCTTCGTTGTGCTCAGGCTGTCTTCCGCAGCCTCCCTGACTCCTCTCAACCCTGCATCCCAGCTGTCCACAAGCCCTGTTTCTGCCTTCCAAACTGGCCTCTATTCCAGACCTCTCCCCAGCACTACTAGTGCCCTGGTCCCAGTGACCTCCACCTTCCCCAGGCTCGGCTGCAGCCTCACCTCTCCACCTTGCCTGCCCCTCGCTGTCTGCATCTTGGAAAGTCACCTGTTTAGTGTGGCATTTGGACAACCATTGGAAAATCTGCACCCATGACTTCCCACCCACCTTCCATGGCCTCATACCCACTTGCACTGCTTGGTGTGTTCCTCTTTAGCATACTGTTATCCTTTCTCCCCAAGCATGTCAGCTCCTTGGGGAAAAGGCTTTCTGCCAGGTTACTTTCCTGCTCTATTCCCAGTTCCTGCAACACTGTTGGGCATGGAGTCCCCCAGAACAAACACCTGCCCAAGGAAACAGCTCCAGGTGGGGCGGTCTCCTGCACCTCCCTCCAGCCCCACCCCCCAACCCCAGACAAGCAGAAGCAGAACAGGAGCCAGCTTTGGAAAATGACATGTTTTTATTGCTATGTTTGCAGTGGCTTTTAGCACAGTAAGAATGTCCCCGCTGGCCCCCGGCCCTCACCCAGCCCCTCCCCTCCAGCTGGCATCGGGGTGTGGGATAAGTCTTTCTAGGTAGGCTCCACTCGGCTGTCTCGTCTTGGGATTACATATGACACAGATGTGGGTTAAGTACAGCTGCTACATGGAAGACTTGACACGTGAAAAGTGCATCAGCTTTAAGCTGGGAGCCAAGCCTGGATCCCTTCCCTGGCTGGTGCCCACCTCAGATCCCTGCAGTCTGCCCAGCCCAGGGGCAGGGTGTGGGTAAGCTTGAGCATGCCAGGTAAGCAGCCCCAGATCCCTGGGACAGAACACCGCACGTACTCACCCCCATGACTTGTGGGCAGAGGGATAGAGTGGGGACATCTGTCAAGGCCCCTACCGTGCACTTTTCCACCTCAGTCTGGGGCCAGGGACTATACATGCATACCCACACAACAGACTCGCAAACTCGACGGCTTGAAGCTCTTGTTTTGCCTATGAAAATTAGATCTATGAAGTCACACTCCTTGGCTGGGGCAGAGGAATGAGGAGGGGTTAAAAGGGACTGGGGTGTGGCAAGGAGAGGGACCTCGGGGCTGTTTTCTCTTTAGAAATATACAAGCAGAAATCTCTCTCCTCAAATTTTTATAAAATGTGCAAAATACAAGCCTCATTTGCCCACAGGCACAGTTTACACCTGGTATTCACCTTTGCTAAGAGATAGAGCTCTAGATACGCCCTACATACTCACGCACACATGCACTCGTACACAAGCTCACACAATTGATATTGGTGGCAATTGGCGCAGGAACCAGAAGGTTCCATTGCTGGCTGGCTCTCTAAGCTTCTAGAGTAGGGATGGGGAGAGGGGGTCTAGCCCAGTTGAAATACTCACCTTGGTTCTGCTGCCCCTCCCTCACCTTCCTCCCCTGCCCTGTTCTGTTCCCCAAGCTGCCTCGGGTGAGAGGCCACCCGGGAGTGGGCCGGGCAGAGCCCAGAGAGGCAGCAGGCACTGGGGGGAGGGCAGGCGGCAGGGCCTGGGAAGCAGTGTGGGCACCAGCTTGGTTGGTGGGGGGAGGCATCTATTTTTGGTGGGTTGTGGTATTTTTGGCATTTTTATTAAAAATGGAAAAAGTTATTTTAGTTATAAGCACTCATGGTGCTTCTTCCCCTCCCCCCAGGCAGACCCCAAAAGTGTCAGGGAAAGGCAAGCCCCCTGGAGGGGGTGGGGGCTCTAAAGCAGGGGCTGCTATGGCTACAAGAGGGAGAGCTGGCACTGGGAGCCGGCTGCCTGTCACATGACGCTCTCTACCACCACCACCTTGCTGCTCTCGGCCACTGGGGTCAGGGTGGTCAGGCCCCTGACCTCCAAGTCCTGAGCTCTGTACTCCAAGTGGTGGAGGCCCCAGACAGGCTGTGTCAGGTGCTGCCAGCGCTGCAGGAGAAAGGGACATGGTGAGCCCCTAGGCAGGGACACCTGCTTGTCCTTGGCCTCCTTCCACTACCACCACCTACCACCGACTCAGGGCCCAGGGCTGCTCCTCCCAGGACACTGACCTGGCCCTACTCCCTGTATCAGGGAGACAAGGTTGGGCGGGCTGCAAGAGTGGAAGCTAACAACAGGCGTCTCCTCCCCCTGCCATGACCCGAGGCCCCGGAGGGCCAGCTTTCCTTTCCTCCAGCTGGCCCGGAGGCTTCTGGTACAATGGCCCATCCTGGTGAGTGGAATGGGTAGTCTAGAGGTAAGACTTTGACCCAACAGAAGGGAGGGACAGTGTTGGGGAACTGACCTCAGCCATGGTCCCCTTGGCCGTGAGGAGGCGGCCCAGCAAGTGCAGGGGTACACACAGCATGGAGGAGAGCGCAAGGCCCCAGCCCATGGCCTCGCCCCACCATGGGTACACGTAGGTGTTGTTGTAGACCAGTGGCTCGGAGTACACAGCGTTGAAGACAAAGATACCCTGCAGAGAGAATCTGCCATCAGCCAGTGGCCCGAGGTGCCCTGCCCCACCCCACCCCACCCAGTCCAGCCTTCCCGGCCCTTACCATGCAGACCAGTGGGGTGAAGAAGGACCAGCACCATTTCATCCAGGGGCAAGGCCGGTACCCAATCATGCAGGCCACGTCGTCCATGAAGCGGTCAGCTCCTGGGTGAGATGAGGCAGGAGGGCCAGAGCTGGAGACCCACCACCCCTGCTCCACACCATAGCCCCACTTGCCCCTGGACCCAGACCTACCATATACCCAGGCGACCACCACACACTCCCAGAAGGCCTGCCAGAGCAGGGTTGTGCCACTGGCCGAGTAGTAGTCAAACAGCTGGAAGACATACATCCCGCCCTGGGGACAGAGCCAGGTCAGAGCAGGTGCAGGTGGCAGCCAGGGGCCAGAGGCAGCCCCCACCCTGCCCCCACTCACATCTGTCACCATGGAGAGGTCGATGACAAAGCAGAGAGCACAGCAGAGGGCCACGGAGATCTCCCTTTGGAAACGGAAGTAGTAGGAGGCCGGGAGGAGGTCCAGCAGGCCTGTGATGAAGCCTTCCACACCTACAAACTGTGGCCAGGTGCTCAGGCCATGCCCCTTGGCCACCTACCAGCCCCTTTGCCCTCTCGGTCCCCGCCATCTTACCCCCCTTGCAAACCTGGCTGTCAAGGCCCAGCAGCAGCAGCATGAAGAAGAACAGGGCAGCCCAAAGTGGGGCCACGGGCATCAGCGTGACTGCCCGGGGGTAAGCGATGAAGGCCAGGCCGGGCCCTAAGAGGGAAAGGGGCAGGATGTGGACACCTGCAGCCTATGCCCACTTCCTGTCCCCCTACCCCTGCTGCTTGGTGCCAGAACAGTGGACAGCGCCACAGCACCCTATAGCCAAGGGCCCTTCCCCTCACATCAAGGCGCTGCTGAGCAGCTCCAGTCCTGTGTGGGTGTGCCATACCAGGGGCTGGAAGGCTCCTGCGGGCCCTCAGCAGACCTCTGCCCACAGGAGTGGGGGGTGTGGTTCAGACTTCCGGTCACCATTGACCCTGGAAAGGCCTTTCCTCCCCTTTGCAACACTGGAAAATACGAGACCATACCCTGAAGCCCCTCGGAATGGATGACCTGGGGCTCAAGGTTCCATATGGCCTGGCCCACGAGGCTTTAGCCCTAAGCTGGCTGGAACAGCTGGGCACTGCAGTTGCTCATCCAGGCCTGCCTCTGGCCCAGAGCAGTGTGACAAGTTGAGTTTGAATTTTTTTATTTCTCAGAATGTCAATTTGCATGTGTGTTCACATACATGGTGTGTAAGGACAGCACTTGCTGTTCCGGAGGCCAGGCTGGGGCCCAGGGATCTTTACCTGACTCTGCTACCTTGGAGATATGCACGCCCTGCTCCGTAGCCATGAAGCCCAGGATGGAAAAGACCACGAAGCCAGCGAAGAAGCTGGTCCCGCTGTTGATGAGCGCAAGGATGATGGCGTCCCTGGGGGTGCATGGGACCACGGGCTGGTCAGGCTGCCTGCTTGTTGCCCATGGGCGGACAGAGCAGGAGGGCAGGGCAGGGGTTCTTACTTGTAGCAGTTGTTGTTGAAGCGATTGTAGCTGCCGAGGGCCGTGAGGGCCCCTAGGCCAATGGCATAAGAGAAGAAAATCTGGGTCCCAGCATCTATCCATACCTGGAGATGGGCCAGGAAAGAGTAGATGTGAGGGGCCCTGTTGGGCTGGCCCCCGGTCTACCTCCCACCACCTCCACCTCACCTGAGGGGATCCCAGCTTTGACCAGTCAGGCTTGAGATAGTAGATGATGCCATCCAAGGCGCCAGGCAGCAGTACTCCGCGCACCAGCAGCACAACAAGGACCACATACGGGAACGTAGCCGTGAAGTATACAATCTGGGTGGGAGGGGCGGTGCCAGGCTGCTCAGACGGGCCCTGCAGCACCCACCTCCCTCTTAGAGGCCCCCAGCCTGAGCAGCCTGAGCAGGTCAGGCCACCGTCCCCTGACACTGGACAGTGTGTTCAGAGGTAAGAAATGTGGCTGGCCAGCAGTCCTCCTCAGAGCCGTAGCTTCTTCCAAAGGAAGCCAGGTGCTTGGCTGGGGCATTAGCAGCCCCGTGGCAAACACAGGTCAGCTTCTTAGGGAGGGGACAGGCAGGGCCCTCCCTGGGCAGAGAGTGGAAGAGCAGCCTGGAGGCAGGTCCTATACATCCTGTGTCCCTGACTCCAGCTCATCCTCTGCAGAGAGGTGGGGTTCTTGGTAGCTGGGATTAGAAGTGGGCCAGCCAGAGACAGAGGCAACAATGAGGCAGATGGCAAAGGCCTCTGCCTTCCATCCAGGCGGGAATGCCAGCACAGAAAGTGGCTTCTCTTCAAGCCCTGCTGGGGAATCGGTCGGCCCTTCAGGGACCTGGCTGTGCCCCACAGCCCTCGGCACACTGTCTTATTATGCCTCTGTTCACACATCTGTCTCCCAAACCTGACAGAGAGCTTCTGGGGAAGGCATGTGTCTAGCCTCGACCCTGGGTCAGACAGGCAGGCAGAAGATAAGAGCTATAGAGCACATCCACCCAGACAGACCAAACAGATTCAGGAAGAAGGTAAGTGAGGAATTAGGGAGAAACTGGGAGGGAGGAGGGATGCCCAACACAGAGAAGGGGCAGCTGCTGCCTGGGCCTCTCCGACTCAGGACCAAAGGCTTGCTAGACCTGAATTTGGAGGGTGGGGAAAGACTCCGAAGCCATGGGGTGGGGAATCAAGTGGCCTGGATTGAAGTATTTGCTCCCTCCACAGGCTCAGGTCCCGGCCCTAACCCAGCCACCTCCTGTTGCAACAGTAGTTCCCATCAGAGACTCCCCCAGGCAGTGCTGCCCCCCAGCCCTGCTGTCACCCCCAGCTGTACCTTTCCTGTTGACTTGACCCCCTTCCAGACACAGAAGTAGACCAGGACCCAGCAGGCCAGCAGACATAGGGTCACCTCCCAGTTGAGGTCCCCCGGTACCTCCAGCCCCTTGGAGAGCCGCAAGACTTTGTTCCTGGGGGAGGGAGAGCCCATGAGGGCTGTGCCAGCAGAGGGTAAAGGAACTGGGGGCTGTCCCAGATGTGGTCCTCCCGCTCCTGCAGCCCTTATGCCCAGCTGGTCACTCCTGAGCCCCTGGGCTAGGCAGCCCCAAGCCTGAGGCCTGGACACATCACAGGGTATGTGCCTGGGCCCCGGGAGCCACAGGGTGGAGATGGTGGGGCTGGCAGCTACCCCACTCCCCAAGGCTAGTAGGCACCTGAATTGACGGGACCCAGAGTGACAAATGGTGCTGAAGGAGCAAGGCTCATCCATCCTGGCTCCCCCAGGCACTGGGCTGGGGGTCCCTGAGGGCAGGCGGGGCTCAGGAGTACTCTTGCTGGGAATCGGCCCCACGGCTGGGCCCCAACCAACCCACGTGAATTTGGGTGGAGCCCAGAGAGCGGGATAGGCTGGGCCTGGCCCAGAGGTGCCTGACTCACTCCCAGAACTCGATGACAGGGGACCGGCGGTCAGCAAGCTGGTCACATGTGAGGTTGGCCAGGCTGGCATTGGCACAGTCTTCGTGGTGGAAGATCTCCACGCAGTCAGGAGTGTTCCAGGTATGGCCGCACGTGGCCCAGGGCAGCGTGGTGGTGAAGGATTTCACCAGGTAGTAGAAGCCCCAGGCCAGCACCATGATGTAGTAGGTGTTGCAATAGAAGACAATCACCATGGAGGCGTAGCCCAGGCCTAGGAGGAGGGCAGTTTCTGTGCAGGCTCTTCTCTGGCCAGCTTTCCACTGCCACCCCAACATTCTGCTCCCTGTATCTGCTGTCCTTCCCCTCCTCACCGTCCATCCCACTAGGTCCTTCTCTATTCTGCTCTGGCCAGAGCCCGCTGCAGTATCCCTTGCACAAGTATGCCAATGCTGGGCTTATTCCCCAGTTGGTCCCTGGCCAAAAATCAGCCCTAGCTCATGGGCTCACCTCCTGCATCCTCCCCAGACCCAAGGCAGAACCTCTCCCTCCCTGCCCCATCTGAGCACAGAGTTTGATTGATTACCTAACCTCACACACCTGCCCCTCCTCATGCCCCCCCCCATCACCACAGCAATTGAGGGAGGGCCAAGCATCCACCTGGCCCTGTGGTGGCCTCCAGTATTCAGCAGCTTGGAGGGCTTTCTGGTGACCTCGGGCAGTGTGGGAGACAGTCACTCTCTCAGCTTGCAACCTCAGCCAGTTATCACGCCCCAGCCTCCTCTGGGACAGTAGAGGTAAAACCCACCCCCCAGGGCTGCGAGAGATGATGGGGAACACTGTCCACACAGAACAGTCTCTAAGGTGACCTCTGCCATGATTAGTTCTTCCATTCAGACCCTGAACTTTCAGTGGCTCCTACCCAAGCTCCTTGGTCTGGCTCTGTGGCCTTGACAGAGCGGGCCACAGGCAGCTTCTCTCACCATTGTCTTTTGTATGCAGCCACCCTCCACTCTGCTGAGCCAAGTGGGCTTAGCAGAGTCTGTTCCCAGCCTTGCTGGGCCTGATCACCCTGATAGAGAGGCTGGATCCCCCATGCTAGCCCCAGCCTGCCCAAGGTCACTGGGTGGTCTGCATGGTCTCCAGCTTCTCCCTTATGACTTGGGGGCCACTGATGGACCCCAGGCCTGGTGTTCAGACACGATGAGATTTCTCAGGTGGGTGCCACTCTTGCCCCAGCAGCGGTAAAGGGACAGGGTCCCTGAGGAAGAGGGCAGAGAGGGGCTGGCCTGGGGCTGCTCACCTTTGAACAGGGGGCAGATGTTCCAGACATTGATGCTGCCGGCCTTCATGAACTGGCCCAGTGAGATCTCCAAGAAGAAAATGGGGATTCCTCCGATCAGGGCGATCAGGATGTAGGGAATAAGGAACACACCTGAGGGAGGACACACGTGCTGGGGACTTAACCCAAATTCCACACCTAGGCTGTGTAGGCTTGTAGCCAGCACGGCTTTCAAGAGGCCCTGGGAGGCCAGGGTGAAGCCCCAGCTCTGGACTCCACCCCAAACCCATCATAACTTCCCAGTGAGTGAATCAGTGCAGGAGGTGGTCACTGACTCAGAGGCCCCAGCTGAATGGTGTGGGGGGGGGTTGGAGTGTTGGGGGTGCTGTGGTCCAGCTCCCTGAGCCAGGGAGGAGGTGCCCTGTGCCCATAGGCTTCTGCCTCCAGTCACCTAGGGTGACCTAATGGGCATGGAAGACACATATGCTTGCACATACAAGCCATCCCTCGTGTCACAGTCCGTGCTTGCCAGGCAGTACAGGAAGGAAAGGCAGCGAGGTGTGTGCGTGCATGTGCGTGCGTGTGCCATGGCTGGCGCTTAGGCCTGAGGGCCTGCCTGGCTTGGGTGGAGGCAGGGAGACGTGCCTTCCCTGTACCCACACACTGGCCTGCGAGTGGGAAGGTCCAGGGAAGAGGGTGGGTGGGTAGCAGTATTCTGACAGCGGGTGTATGTGTGGGTGCCTTAAAATGTCAGTGAACAAGGACGGAGAAAGACATCCTGGTGGAGGCCACCGGCTCTGGAGGCAGTATGCAGGGCAGGGCCAGAGACCACAGGCCAGGGGGTGGGGTGGGGTGGGGAAGCTGGGCCCCAGTAGCTCCTGTGCACTACCCCTTCCTCCTAGGCCCGCTACCCTTGCCCCTGGCCCAGCCCTCCCCATTACTGAGAAGATGGGCTTCACTGTAGCTCGCCTGGCTCTTGGTCCCAGCATCCTTGTTGTGTGTGACCTTGGGCAAAGGCCTTCACTCCGGGCCTCAGTTTCTCACCCATCACCCAGTCACCATGGCTTCCCACCAACCCCTGCGCTGCTTTGCAGTTGTACGCAGGACATGAGCGCCCATCACTGTTGCTAAGCTGGGCCGGGGCCGGCAAGCGGGCATGGGGTGTGCGTGCAGTGTGTCCAGCGGCGGCGCCAGGCAGCCCAGGCCGCAGGCTTCCCAAGCCTGGCTCAGGCACCCAGTGTTCCAGGCCCAGGCTAGAGGGGAGGGCGAGGAGGGGAGGGCAGGGGGGAGAGGGGAAGAGAAGAGAGGGGAAGGAAAGAGAGGGGAAGGGAGGGGAGTGGGAGGGACAGAGTGGCCCATTGTGTGTGTGTGTGTTCGTGTGTGCACACGTGGGGGGCCCACACAATGTGCCACTTGTGTGCCTGACCAGCTGAGGCAGCCAGGGCTCCTCACCTCTGGGAGCCCCCCCCCCCGGGGGCAGGCCTCGCCTTCCCACCTCAGTGGCCAATCCCGGAGCGCAGGGAGTATGAGGGGGCAGCCCCGCGGCTTGGGCCGGAGGCTCGCGGGCCCCCTCCCCCCACACACTGCCAGGCACATGACTGGCCTGGGGTGGACGCTGCCAGGCTGGGCCACCGAGTGGCAACGGCCGGCGAGGGGCAGCCCCTGGCCCCAGCTGTCCTGGAGGCCCTCCCCACCCACTGGACTTCGCCCGTGCGCCTCCTCGATGGGGCGGGCAGCGGGCGGGGGAGGGTCCATGATGCGAAGGAGCGGGGGAGCTCACCTCCGCCGTTCTTGTAGCACAGGTAGGGGAAGCGCCACACATTGCCCAAGCCCACGGCGAAGCCCACGCACGACATGATGAAGTCCATCTGGCGCGTCCAGGTCTCGCGCGGAGGTACGGCGAGGCGGCCGCCAGGCACCCCCAGGCCCGCGGGGCCATCGCCCTTGGCCGGGGCCCCGTCGGGCACGGGCTCGATCAGCGGACCCTTCTTGTCGTCTCCAGACACGCTGTAGATGCCGTTCTCGGCGCTCTTCTTCGCCATGGTCCCAGAGGGCGGCGCAGCCGGGCCGAGGGACGGGCGGCGGGGGGCGCCGGCTGCTTGGGGACCCCGAAGGCGCGGGCCGGCCGGGGGCGGCCGGGCCGGAGTCGGGGCGGCGGGCGGGCGGGCGGCGGGCGGGGTGCGGGGCGGACAGGCGGCGCGGTCAGAAGCAGTCCACGAAGCACTTGAAAGTGAGCCTGAAGAATCTCATGTGTGTCGGGGGCCCGGGGGCGCGCGGGCGGCGGCGGGGCCCGGCCGGGCGGCGGCGGCGGCGGCTCCCAAGGCTCCTGCCCGCGATTCGAGCGGCGGCGGCGGCGGCTCCCGAGGCTCCTGCCCGCGATACGGGCGGCGGCGGCGGAGGCGGCGGCGGCTCGCCCGGTCCGACGCTTAGCCTAGCGGGGTGCGGGCGGCATCGGGAGCCCACTGTCTGCAAGCGGCGGCCGGAGCATGGGCTTGCGGCCCGCGCCCCCCGCCCCGGCCCGGGCCCACACGACTGCCTAGCTCTCCTGCGGCTCCGGCTCAGACGCCTCTGGCTCGGGCGGCAGCGGCGGCCCGGGCGTGCTCACCCCTTTTTTCCCGGCGGCGGCGGCTCCAGCCGCTCTCCGGGCCGCGGCGGGCTCACGGACTTCCCACCGCGTTTGGACCGTCCCTCTTCTCCTCGGCTTGACCGGCTGCTGCTTAAGAACCGACTCCCGGGTGACGTCACTGTCGCCCCACCCCCCCCACACCCGGGCTCCTCTCCCTCCCCCTCCTTCGTCCCTCCCTCCCGTTCTCCCCGTTACTCCTCCCACCTCCTCTCGCCCTCCTCCCGAGGAGGAGACGCCGCTCCAGCGGGAAGCAGGATGGCTGCTACCTAGAGAACTCAGCAGCACCTTCTTCCCAGAGGCTAAACCGCCCCTGACCCCAGGTTCACCTGCGCCTACCCCTGCCCAGATTGCCGATCCTAACCTGCCCTTCCAGACTGTAGCACAGCCGCTTCCCTGGCAGACGTCCAGCCATCCTTAGCCCTTTTTCTTCTCCCCCTCCATCCAGCCTGTCCCATCTCTGGCCCCTCTCTGACTCTCATCTGGGGCTGGGGCAGTGTTGGGCCCTAGACGGGGTGCACGGTGCTTAGTCTCCTTAGGGACTGGGCCCAGCTGGCCACAAGGGCAAAGCTGGGGAGTGGGCATGTCTTCCTCTAGGTGTACTGTGGGGTTTTGCCACACGGGCACCACGCTGCCTTCTCCCAGAATTCGGCCCTTCCTGAGGGGTGCAGCCCTAGAAGCTGGAGGCCAGGGTCCCATTGTTTGGGGTGACAAATCTCTGTGAGTATTTTAAGGAGGCAGAGTGGAGCCTGCCTGGCTGAAGTACTAGGCCACATTTTGTCACCAAGGTAAGGGGTGGTAGGGACCCCTGCTGCCCCCCAACCCTGTGAGAGCTGCTGGAGCCTCAGGCAGGGAACCACTAAGGCCGCCCCCTGGGGCCTAGTGGGTACACAGACCCTTACTCAAAGTCCTCAGCTGGGAGGTCCCAGCTCCCCACTCTTAGCACTCCTTTCCCCAGGGACCTCCAGACCTCCTCAGCAACAGCAAGGTGGTTCAGCTGCCTCTCCACTGGCAGCTGAGCGGCCTGTTTGGAATTTTCCAGGGCCAAGAGCAGCCATGGGGTGTGGAAGGAAGGGGTCATTGTCATGGCCGGGTATGTGAAGTGTGCCCTCTCCCCAAGTCCCAGGCTCCCTGATTGCCACGCTGCAGTCCCCAGATGGCTCATCCTATTAAACTAAACCCTCAGCCATCCACTGGCTTTAAGAAGAAAAGCAGTTCCGGCTGGAGCCAGATTAAGCCTGCTAGGTGAGGGAGGGGCAACATCTCCACCCAGGCTGGCTGGAGCTGGGGTGGGATTGAGGGGGCTTGGATACCCTTGAGCTGGCAGGGTCACACTGCTTGATCAGAAGACCCTAACATGAATCCTCTTCATCCTGGTACTGAAGCCCATCTGGAGACGAAGAGGTTGGTAAAGAAGTATATTATCCATAGATGGCCTAGAGAAACTGGCCCCTGGGGGAGGGCTGCTTCAATGGAAACACCAGGGCAGAGGCCAGACAGCACAGGGAGAAGCAGGGGGGAGTGAGGATGTGGGTGCAGGTGACTCAAAAATTGAAGATCATGCTTGTCCAAAAAGTGTGGTGGGGAGAGAGAGCAGTGGCTGGAGAAGGACATGGGCCAGTCGGTGGCCCTTTGGGGAAGTGGCCGCAGCTTCCAGGAGTTCTCCAGGTAAAAAAAAAAAAAAAAGCAAGATAGAGGGAACCTGAGAAGGGCCGAAGAAGCCAAGAATGGGGGCCTCCTCCATTCTACTTGGGAGCGGAGGCAGGCTGCAAGGCTGGTGGCAGGAACCAGAGGGAGCTGCCACCTGTGGCTGCCCTGGCCTCTGTGAGGTCAGAGTCTGAGAGGGACGTGGCTTGGCGGCAGTGGCTGCTGGCAACGTCTTCTGTGAGCTCTGCGACTCCTGTGGACGTGGCTCCCACTGCTCCAGGGGCCGCTGCCTTCAAAGGGTGTCTCCAGATTCTGGAGCAGGGGTCTCCTCATCTGAGGGTGGGGCGCACAGGCTGCCAGACCTTCCCTCCCTCCCGCTCCCCCAGTCTTCCTCAAGCAGGCAATGAATGACACCACGCCCCTGGCTTTCTTGGACCCCGCAGTGGCCTCCTCGAGGCCCATGTACTGCATGGTTTCCCTAGCAGCACAAATCTGACCAGTCCCTCCTCATCTGCTCTTTTTAGGACTTTTCTTCACATGGGAAATCAAGTTCAATTCTTCTTCAAGGCTACAAGATGAGGCATCAGCTGACCCACGGGCTCCCCAGCACTGAAGAGCAGCCACCTCCCAAGCTGCCTTCCCTGCCCTTTGCCCTCCGCCCTCGCAAGAGCCCACTGCCTGGGGTGCCTCTTCTTTGTTTACTTCCCTCTGATCCCGTAAGACTCAGCTCAGCCGCCACCTGTTCCAGGAGGCTAGAGAGGAAGGCGAGGGGGATCCTCTGACCCAAGCTTCCATTGGTGCCCAGCCAGGGCAGCTGGGCTTGTGTGGTGCTTGAAGTTCAAGAACCCATCCTCTCAGGCCGGATGATTAGGCCAGAGTTTCCCGAAGTGGGAGCTGGAGGCCATAAACTGGCTTCTGCTGTGCTGACCCGCACAGCCTGTGGGAATGGCCAAGCTACAGCGTTCCCGGGGTAGTTCCTGTGGGCATCAGAACAAAACAAAGGAAGAGGGATTTTCAGCCCTTGGGTTCTCAGGGCTTTGGGAAGGTGTATATTGCCAATGCTCCACCCCAGCACCAGCTGCTGGGGAGGAGTGGGGTGGACTCCCCGGGACCCCAGCTAAGGCCTGGGAGGCTGTCCCTGCCAGGTCTTTGTGTTCATGGCTCTGTGAGGCTGGTTCTGGAGCACGTGCAGGAGCGGGTGAGATACTTGTAGATGCTTGCCCAACTCCAGAGGGAGAGTGTAACCCACTGTTCTTAAGTGTGGGATGTGTACTGAGTGAGAAGCTTCACTCTTGGGTGAGAAGCAAAGTGTTCTCCAGGCAGCAGCCATGGTGGTCGGCCTTTTAGAGGCCAGTGGGGCGTGTGGTGGGGGTGGAGTAGGAGCCCAGGAGGAGGGTGAGGGGAGGAGGGGAGCACTGGAAAGAGGGCTCCTATTGTCTAGGGAGGTCTGGAAGTTGGACCTGGTGCCCGCAGCAACTGGGGCTACAGGCCCCACTGGGTGGACCTCCGAGGAGACTGGGTGGGAGGGCGCCCTGCTCTGGGGCAGTGGGTTAACCCATTGCCCCAGGACAGCTAGAGGGCGGGTTGGTGGGGTGGGGGGGGCCCTCTTCTGCTCAGGCTGCTGGTACAAGAAGCTGTGCAATTAGAATGCACTGGGAACAAAGGGAAGGCTGGAGTCCACCTTGAAGGAGTTTGTGCTTTCAATAGCTGGGGAGGCAAGGATGGCGCCAGGCCACCTACAGAGGCCGGGGGTAAGAGGGGGCCACCTGACCCCCACCCCTGCACAGCACTCCTTGTTCACCAGCTGTTCTTGTCCACACAGACTCCTAAAAGGATTTGTACATTTATTTTTATGTTTTAAACACATTTTAAATTTCTGAATAGTTTTAATATTGTTTTTAAATCACATGTTATTGATTGTGCTATTACAGTTGTGCTGATTTTTTCCCCCTTTGCCCTTGTCCACCCAGCACCCCCCACCCCTTCAGGCAATCCCACCAGCATTGTTCATGCCCATGAGTCTTGCGTATGGGTTCTCTGGCTACTCGATTTCCTTACTGTACTTTGTCCCCATGGCTGTTCTGTAACTACCTGTTTGTACTTCTTAATCCCCTCACCTCTTGACCCATTCCCTCACCGCCACCCCCCATGTGGCGACCATCAAAACGCTCTCAGTCTCCATGATTCTGTCTCTGTTCTTCTTGTTTGCTTAGTTTTTTTTTTAGATTCCATCGTTGATAGATATGTATGTTTTGCCATTTTATTATTCATAGTTTTGATCTTTTTTTTCTTAAATAAGTCCCTTTAATATTTCATATGATAATGATTTGGGCCGTGGCTGGGGTGGCTCAGTGGAATGAGTACTGGCCTGTGAACTGAAAGGTCGCCAGTTCGATTCCCAGTCAGGGCACATGCCCAGGTTGTGGGCCAGGTTCCCAGTTGTGAGCATGTGAGAGGCAACTGATCAACGTATCTCTCCCACACTGATGTTTCTCTCCCTGTCTTTCTCCTTCCCTTCCCCTCTCTCTAAAAATAAATAAATGAAATTTAAAAAATATAATGGTTTGGTGATGATGAGCTCCTTTAGTTTCTTCTTGTCTGGGAAGCACTTTATCTGCCCTTCGATTCTAAATTATTTCTTACTGGGTAGAGCAATCTTGGCTGTAGGTCCCAGCATTTCATGACTTTGAGTATTTCTTGCCAATCCCTCTTGCCTTCAAACTTTCTTTGAAGAAATCAGCTCACAGTCTTATGGGAACTCCCCTGTAGGTAACTGACTTCTTATCTCTTCCTGCTTTCAAGATTCTCCCTTTATATTTAACCTTTGGCATTTTAATTATGATGAGTCTTGGAGTGGGGCTCTTTGCATCCATCTTGTTTGGGACTCTCTGTGCTTCCTGGACTTGCATGTCTATTTCCTTCACCAAATTAGGGAAGCTTTATTTCACTATTTTTTCGAACAGATTTCTAGTTTCTTCCTCTTTCTCTTCTCCTTCAGACCCCCCTATGATATGAATGTTGAACCTCTTGAAGTTGTCCCAGAAGCTGCTTATACTCTCCTCATTTTTTAAATTCTTTTTTCTTCTTCTTGTTCTGATTGGTTGTTTTTCCCTTCCATATGTTCCAAATCATTGATTTGATTCTCGGCTTCATCCACTGTACTGTTGTTTCCCCGCAAATTGTTCTTTATTTCAGTTAGTGTATCCTTCGTTTCTGAGTGGATCTTTTTTATGCTGTCGAGGTCCTCACTAAGTTCCTTGAACATTCTTACAGCCAGTGTTTTGAACTCTGCATCTGATAGATTGCTTACGTCCATGTCTTTTAGCTCTTTTTCTGGAGTTTTGATCTGTTCTTTCATTTGGGCCATGTTTCTTTGTCTCCTCATTTTGGCAGCCTCCCTGTGTTTGTTTCTATGTGTTAGGTAGAGCTGCTTTGACT